TCAACTGTTACACGCCTAAACATTTTCACTGCTTACTTCATAATTACAATACATTTTCTTGAGATACTTACCTGTTAAAATAATATTATTTGCTTAAGGCTATAATTACCTGTTATAGAATAACTCAGAGAAGAATAGTGAATGTCCTTGTATGGAGGCATTGATGGCTCCATGTTAGAATTCTATCCTTCTATGGTTTTACTTCCCGGCCAGTGTGCCTTCTGTTCAGGCCCATTCCCCTCTCAGTGGAGGCTATTGTGTTGCCGGGATGCCCAGCAAGTTTGAGTGGAGCTTCCATACTAAGATGGTCTAGAAAGACATGCCTAGTGACCTACTTATGAAAACCCGATGGATGACAACGGTCCAATTGATTCATAACTGATCCTGGAAATGGTGCAGGACCAGTGTGTCATGATAATATACAGGAGGTCGCTAAGAGTTGGGAGCAACTCGATAGCAGCTAATAACAACAAGAAACTGAGGATATCAGTGGTTGAAGTGTGGTCAATGGACTGGATATCCTGGTAATATCAAGGAATTGTTGGTGGTAGACTATGAGAAGGAGGAAATGAGAAACTATAGGATGAGAATATAGATAAACTTGGTAAAGAGGAAAACAATTCATATTTTTAAATCTTTATTTGTCCATCTTGTGTTTTATAACGTTTATTCTACTGATATGCATTATACTTATTTCCTTTTTTTAAAATTTTTGCCCCCACCCCCTACATTACACTTATTTCACAATGACAATAGAATAATTATAAATTAAGATACATGATCCCTGATTACAAGTATTTTTATTGTGCAGTGTCTGAGTGAATTGGCATAATCAGCCATCACTGATGTCAACAAGTAGATAGTCAGCATTTTTATTACCAAATGTGAATTCAGAGATTTGTAGAGGCAAATTCCATTATTATCTATTATGCCATTTATTCAGAAGTAAAGAGGTATGTTGTGTGATTACAAAAGAGATTTTGGTGTTGTGGGATATTCGTGTGCTGGGAAAATCAACATGTCAGACAGATACCTATATTAACAATCATGCTTTACTAGGAATAATTGTGTATATGTCTTAAATACTTATACAAATCATCAAAAACTCCAGACACTAACAAAATGAGTTAAAATATGCCTATTTAACCACTTGAATTATATTTTTCAATGTTCAGAAGCAGGATTATTAAAATTGTAGATTACTAAATTAAATTTTAATTAAATTCATAGTGCGGGTGAAGATCTTTATTACTGTTCCTTCTGTTGATTTTGAAAGATTTATAGTTGCTAAACTCACTGTATTAAGTAAAATTAGTGTTAATATTTTTAACTAATTAAAGATCTACCTAATGGTTAGAGCTGCTAAGTTGCTTTAAATAACATATTTGGTCACTGGTTCAATATCATTTCATTTACCCAATGAAATTTGACCTTGAGGGAAGCCTCTGAGTCTTGATTTCAGAACACATGATTTCAGCAGGACATTTTTGTTTTTTAATTGAAAATTTCTGAGATGCTTCCCACTCAACTCTCTTGGTAGAGGACCTGGAAACTCAATCTATTGAGGAACCAGGAGCTGGCATCTTTACATTTTCCACTTATTTTCCAAATACCAGCTTAGCTTTGTCTCCTTCCCATTTTCCTCCCTTCTGGATTTTCATTTATCTCTTTCTCCTCTTCCTGCTCTTCTTTTACTAACTCAACATCAGGCCACTAGCCCCTTCCCCCTATTTCTTCTTTATCTTCTTGGGTGTTTTCTTCCTTCTGTAGGCTTGGGTCCATATCCCTATCTGTTAAGCTTTGATTTTTACAGGCAATGTGTTCTTACTGGGTCTAGTGGTTCTTTGTTCAGACAATTGTGGATGGCATGAGTAAAACATGTATGAATCTGTCTATGTAGTGATCTACAGACACAAGGCGGACAAACAGCTCACAAATGAAGCATGTGATTATCAAGTTCAAAAAGGCATGGTCTCCTTTGGTATAAGCCTCCTGAGTTCAAGATGTAACACCAGTAAATCCTTCGCTGTCTCCTGTTGCTTGGCCTCCCTGTGAACTAAAAGCATTAACCATGAAGAACAACATAAAAAGTATATTATAAATATATACATAACAACATGTGCTAATTCATTTCCCACATGTATAGTTTAATGATATCGATTACACCAAATGCTGTGCAACCCTCGGCAATAGATTATGAATAGTCTTTCTTATCTTTAATAGCAGGAGATGGGTTCTTATTCTCAGTCTTTATTTCAAGGCATGTATGAACTAAAGAGGAATTAAGATAAAAGTCTCATTAAGATGAATGAGAATCTCAGACTGTCTTGCGGATGAAAGTATGACTTTCTTCAGAACTTCTTACTGATTTACCAAGTGACTGCCTGTAGTCACAATGACTCTCTTGTTTCTTTCAGAAGGCCAATAGATCTGGCTTTCATTGTTCATGTAGTGCCTACCTGTCACTCTGCCAGATCAAGTACCACCCTGCAAGGGAGGGGCTGGTTAAAGACAGGTATCCGAGAAACATGGAGGTTTGGTCTTTGGCCCAAGGCCACATAATTCTAAGGCAAGAAGTTGAATGACAAGTGATTGTATTGTGTTTCCTTCATAAGGCACCTTCAAAATGTATACATCGATCTCTCAATCCCTGTTACCTCCATTTCATTCTCTCACTAATGAAGAAGCACTTTTAAGGCCACTTTCCCCCTGAATTTCTCCATCCCCAAGACCTTGAACTTGGAGCACTTCTTTTCAGGCTGCCTCGTTGTCTTTCTCCACTCTGGCTTTTTCTCAGTGCATGAACCTGCTTCACATCTTCATTTAACCCCCTTGACTGTTGTTATTCTAGAAAAATCCATTCCTGCCCTTTCCTGCTTCCTTTACTTCTCTGATACACCAGGAAGGCTTGCTATTGTTCACCTCCACTCTGCACACTCTCTGTAGTTTGACCTCACCTATCCGTTCTGCCTGGAATATTCTTTTTACCTTCTCTCCCTTCCACATCGGCTTTCTATAACCTTTAATCAATCCTCCATCCCCACTCTCTCCTCAAACTACTGCCTTCTCCTCAATACTCTTCCCGGTTCCCTCAAAAAGCCATGTGGAGTCCCTTTCTCTTCCATATTCTCAACCTTTGATTTGTACATCAACTATGAGGAGGCTTCAAACATTCTGTGTCAAAATGACACCATCTTTTAATTCCATTTTCCCACCAACTTTTTGAAGTGCCTTGTGTAGTACTTCTAGAATCTTGCGTGACATGCAACTCCGTTCCATGTATAGCTTTCTTTCTAGCCAATAATTATAACTTAGCTCAATGCTGTGGGCTAGTGCAGAGTGTGGAACAAAAATTTTACAATGGAAAGAATGTTAAAGTTATTCTAATTTGACTCCCTAATTTTACTAGGAAGGGCACTGAAGACTTTTTCTTTCTTTTTTGTTCAGGAGGCAAAGCAAACTGATGGAAGGAGACAGAAATTGTTTCTCCTTCTGCTGCCACCGTATGTTTGAAATGAACTTGTATGTCAATAAAGATTCCGAGTCCACTTCAGTTTGACTTCCTCTTTTGTCTTGCCATATTTAGAAATTTGGAAGGATATTTTTTGTTTGTTCATTTTTAAAGAAGCATACTATATATATATGCAGCCCATTTCAACAAGTGAGATCAGTAACAATATCCCATTAAATCCCTATATGTGTGGTTCTCTTTCTTTTATTTTTCCCACCATCCTCCCTCTCTCCTTCCTCACTGTCTTCTCCCATCCCTCTTCCTTCTCCCCTCCCCCTCCTTGTAGTCATCAAATCTTATCCTTTTTAGAAATTTTATTAGTTGGGATTTAATACAGATTTCAATCATGTCAAGTAGAATTGCACAATTATCACCACAGAAAAAAACACATTTCTTTCTCTTTGTTTTTCCTTATAGTTATGGTGTTATTAAATATTTATCTTTGTAAGATCAACCAAGTTGACTAAGCAAAGCGCTCTCTCATTTTGTCCCATCTTGCAATGTTTTATAGGTTGTCACTGTTCTTTATCACTGTACAATATTCTGTGTGTAAATGTACCAGGGTTGTTTGTTCTTCCATGACGAACATCTTGTGAATACAATTGTGTGTGCGTGCTTGGCAGTGTACCAGGTACAAAAGATACACAAAGTATAGTCTCTCCTTTTAAGAATCTCACAGTCTAGATGGAGAGGGTCTATATTAGTACAATACATTGCAATGGAATACTTCTCTGTGGAATAAGTAAATGAAGGTATAAAGAAATAGCAGTGCATGGTCAAGGGATTTATTATCTCATAATAATAGTACAAAGAGTTTTGGTGACATAGTGCTTAAGGCATGTAGCTGATAACTAGAAAGTTGGCTGTTCAAAGCCATCAGCTGCTTTATGAGAGGAAGATGAGGCTGCCACTTCCATAAATATGGACGGCCTTGGGAACCCTATAGAGTAGTTCTGTTCCATCCTATAGGGTTGCTATGAGTTGTAATCAAGTCAGCAGCTGTGGGTTTGGGATGAGGAGAGTAACAATAATATGATTGTTTCCACATGGACATGGGTACAGATAAGAGCTCCCAACACAGGGAATCCAGAACAGATAAACCCCTCAGGACTAATAAGGGGAGTAGCGATACTAGGAGGGTAAGGGAAGGGGTTGGGGAAGGACACGGACAGCATAAAAGTGGATGAAAGGAGACAGTGGTCAGTGTAAGACATGGAAAAAAAGAATTTATAAATTATCAAGGGGACATGGAGGAGGAAAGGTGAGAAAGGGAGGGGGGGAATGAGGAGCTGATGCCACGGGCTCAAGTAGAAAGAAGATGTTTTGAAAAAGATGATGACAACATATGTACAGATGTGTTTCACACAATAGGTATATGTATGGAGTGTGATAAGAGCTGTAAGAGCTCTCAATAAAATAAAACTTAAACAAAAGGAGAGCATGGAAATAGGTTTTATCACTCAGTTAATAAAATCATGTCCCAGCTGTAGAGGCTATCGCAAATCAGATGTGTGCCTGCTAAACTGATCTCTTCCAAACACCAAGACAGTGGACTACTGAAAACGGAGATGTGATGTTTTCCATCTTACTCTATGCATTTTAGTTTTCCTCCCTGCAGTGCTTGCTGCTCCTTTCTTCGTGTGCCCAGAATTTACCTCTGAACACTTGCTGGCAGCCTGAAGCAATTTTCACTGTGCTGGATAATTGTTCACCTCAGAAGCGCCAAGATGCCATGGTTTTTGGGTTGAACACAACACTTCGTTCATTTTATTTACTTGTTTTTAAATTTGAAATTCATTCTTGTAAGTTTAACCAGCTGATGACCGATTGAGTCTGACGCCTGGTGACCTCATGTGGGCCAGAGCAGACCTGGGCTCCGCAAGCGTTTTAATGGTCAACATTTGGAGAAGTCAACAGCCAGGCCTTTCTTCCAAGGACTCCACCCTCTCATGTTTCAGTTAACAGGCTATCATATTAAGTATTTGCACCTCCCAGGGACTCCTCTTGCAGTGTCAGCTTCACTCGTTCTCCCTTAAGTTACATCCTCTGACAGCAATAATACCTGCTTAATCCGGGTGCCAAATAAAAGGTTACAGACACATCATTCAGGTGTGGCTCAGACAGACAGGCAGCCTTACCTGTGAGATTCCAGGTCTGCTCTATCCACAGTGCATCAGGAAGGCCCTCCAGTTGGGCGGCATGAGAGGGAGTTTTATTTGAAAATGGTTCCAAAACCTGTCAGAGAGATGCAGCAGGGAATGTGTTTTTTGGAAACGCCCAGGCCTGTCCCTTTGCCAGAATCTCTCTGGTGCCTAGTACTCAGCTATCCTCAGAGATCAAGTTTCTCTGCTGCATTCTGATTTCTCTGCTGCATTCTGATGCTTGTGTGGCTTAGCATTTTCAGGCTGTTGAACACGATCCCTTTCAAAGCTGGCAGGGGTGCCTTGTTTTTATTTTAGCATAATCTGTCTCACTTTGAGACATTCTCATGCATGAATACCTAGATGGGATGCTGCATACAAACACATTAAGATGTGGTGTCTGCGTGTGGGTGCAGGGGCAGGGGCAGGGGCATGGCTCTTGCCTGCCTTATTGATGGGAGGGAGAACAGTCTTCCTGGGGAGCGATCAGCCGGAGTGCCTCAAAAGCCTCTAACTGCCTTGGACGCAGTGGACCCAGCATCACAACTCTAAAGAATTGATCAAAAAAAACAAAGAAAAAGAATTGACCCCAAGGAAAAAACATGGATTTCCTTAGGAAGACACACCTAGCAAATAATTGTTTTGAATAGAGAAAAGTTAGAAACCAAGTTCAACCAAGCGTTGGGTAATTAATGTATATACAACAAACAAACCCATTGACACCCAGTGGCTTGTGACTCATAGTAACTCTCTAGGGCTGAGTAGAATTGCCCCCTTTGGGTTTCCCAGGCAATAAATCTGTACAGGAGCAGCCTCATCTTTCTTCCATGGATATGTTAATGAATTTTGAACCACCAAACATCTGGTTAGCAGCCTCATGCTTAGTCCACTGTCCCTAGAAGATTGTCATTGAGTGGGTCTAACTCATAGCAACCTTGTGTACAACAAAACAAAACCACCCATTCCATGTGGAAAATAACCATAATATATCGTTCAATAAACATACTCAACTCACTGTAAGAGTTGATTCCAACTCACAGCGACCCAATAGAACAGAGTAGAACTGCCCCAGTGGATTTCCAAGACTATAAATCTTTATGGGAACAGCAAGCCTCGTCTTTCTCCTATGGAGCAGCTGGTGGGTTTTAACTTCTGACCTTGAGGTATCCCACTTCTGACCAACAGGTATCCCACTACACAACCAGGACTCCTTTTAATAAACACATAGGTACAAAAATATGTACAGTAATACCCAGTTTTATAAAAAGTCTAAGGGTATATGTGTGTGAACAGATAAAGTTTAACTAGACATTAAAGTATACATTTCTCTATCTGGTTGATGGGATTGTTTTGTGGCTTCCTTTATTTTTCAATTAAAAAACATTTCCTCAAAATTTTGAGTGTGTTTATATTATTTCTGTGACCAGAAAAATGACTGCTTGACTTATAGAGCCAAAGAGAAGCAACAAAGATTAGTTGAGCTGTGGCTGCTCACAGCATTTATGTAGGACCCTCTTACATTGATGACACAATAGTCTCTAACATCAGTGTCTGAGAAGTTCCCGAAACAACAACTCAACTCTCTGCCGTTAAGTCCATGCTGACTCAGGGCGACTCTATAGAAGTTCCCAAGATGGAATCGATTGCTTTGGATAAAGGATCTCCAGGATCCACTTATCTCCATAGTTGCTACATTCCTTTCTTTTCAGAACAAAGATCTAGGTAGGTGTGCTGTTGAAAAAAGACCAAAACATAGAGTGTTTTAAAACCCTTAGAAGGTTTGAGGTTAATTTGTGTGATACTTAAAGAGATGGGGGAAAGGAGGGAAACATCGATGAAAGAAAGTAAGCCCAAGGAGAAAGCTATGGGACCCACAGTTCCAGGGAGACTTGGGGGGAGGAGGAGACGGGAGGAAGGGAGTGGTGAGCAAACAATGCCATGGATAGGGGAACAACTAGGGAATTAAAATCAATGGCAAGGAGGGTGTAAGGACCCTGGTGGTGTTGGAGCAACAGTAATCTAGCTGAGAGGAATTACTGAGAGGCAAATGAAGGGTGAGCATGAGATTATGGCAAGAGGAACATAAAAGGAAACAGAGGAAAGATCTAGGAGGCAAAACCATTGAAGGAGGTAGAAACATAAGTGTGTCCATATGTAAATATATTAATGCAAACAAATAGAGGCATTAGCCTATGTACATATTTTAATATGGCAATACATTGAGGAAGCGGATGGACTTTGGGCCTCTGCTCGAGCCCTATCTCAACATAAGAAGAACACTTTGTTCTAACAACCTGGCATTCTGTGATGCTCACCCTCCTGGCACGATCACTGAAGATAAAATGGGTGCATAAGCA